ATCAGGAATAAAAATGTATTCAAATCCTTCCTTTTCTGTGCCAACCAGTAACGTGTGTTAAAAATGTCATCTTCCAGTCTGTTTTTCTGAGGATCAAAATTAGCATTTCCTTCATTTTTGATATCATAAGTCAAATGATTACACAGTTGAATTATGAATCAGTTCAACTTGGAATAGCCTGAAGGCCTTAATTCTAGTATTCTGCACAGTGTGCACACTCTAGGAGAAAAGCGCCTCACTTCAAGCACAGCCTTGAGAGCTCAGACACATCATATGTATGCTTGTTTAGGGCCTTTTACAAAATGATACAAGTAAGATGAATAGCTTTGTCTCAGTGTCTGGTTCTTTAGGATCATAGCGTAGAATTACTGAGTAAAGCATTCAAAGGACCTTTTTAGTACCATTAAAAAAAAAATAAACCTTTAGAGTCTGTTATTTGTGTAAATTAAAGCAATTAGAATAAACTTTATCTTCATTTCTATAATGTCTTTCTAAAAAATCAGTTTAGAAATTTGTTTTTCTGGTGATTACTATGATATATTTAATAGAAAATAAATTTTAAAAGTTAGATTTAGAATATATTCAGGTGCACCTAAGAATATATTTAATGAATTTCTTACCCTGTGCCCCCAGCAGATGGCCAGTTGAGATGTGGTTAGTGGTAAAAGGCTGGGTTTTTCTTTCTGTAAAGCTGGTAGTGAATCATGGCAGGTAGATTGACATCAAGAAATAGGCTTTGTGGCAGGAGGATTGTTGAGAGGTGAGCTAAAGGCCAGCCTGTACTGCATAGTGAGACCCCGTCTCAAGAAAAAAAGACAAAAGAAGCAGGGTTTTTATTTCTGTAGCACAGTTACCACACAACATCCATATAGCATGACTTCTCTCTCTAAAGGATGCCTTCTAGATAAATTTATAATTCTGGATAATTGGACTATTCTGATTGAGTATAAATCTCTTTTCTCTATGTATGTTCTCTTTTAAGATCTGTGTGTCAGGTTATCACCCTTACTGCTCATAAATGGTATTTTTTCTTTGCATTTCAGTTTTGCTTCCATATGGTTTGGTAATCCTCTAGTACTCAAAGATGTCAGGTATACCTATTTTCTGGATTGAGTGAGGAAAAATGATACCTTTTTGAACTTGGACCCCCCCCCCCCTTTTTTTGGTGGCAGAACCGAGGATTGAACTCAGGCCCTTGCGCTTGCCAGGGAAGCGCTTATTCCACTGAGCCATCTCCCCGGGCCCTTCCCCATTTCTTTAATGTAGCTATAACTTGATTTGGTGAATTAAGTAGTTTGTTGTTTGGACACAAACTGAGGGAATGGAGATCAGAAGGAAAGGGAGCTCACTGTAAATCAGTATCATCAATATAGGTGAAAAGTCAGTGCAAAAATGAGTGTGCAGATAGTGTGGGGATTTTTTTTTGGTAATTGTGAGGGGAGGGAATACATGTGATAGGCTGTATCACTGTGGACATACCATTACTTGTTTGAATTGCATAAGCTTGGGCATGGTGGTAGACCCCTGTAACCTTAGCACTCAGCCTTGTGGGCTGGAGGCCAGTACAGGCTACATACACCCTGTTTCAAAAGGAAAAATTTTCCCCCAGATGTCACATTAGCCATCTGTTTAAAAAGATTTCAATCTTAGAGGTGTGCAATACAGATTTCTTACTGGCTTAACTGATTAGATCTGTCAACCATTATTAGTACCTTCACATTAAAAGCTGCACAGACTCATTTTTAATACAGGAAGCTAGAGCACAGCATTCAGTTGCATTGGCGTGGTGGCTAAAGAAAACTGGACATAACTGCATGCTTAAAAGTAGCAGTTTCTGGGTTCCTGTTCTGCTAAAGCACAGCGACCATTCTGTCCTTGGATGGTGCAAAATAACTTGTGGTCTCCTGGGACTTGCTGTCTCTTTTGCACCATGGAAGGAAAATGGTTTGTTTGCCTTTGTGTGCTGGGAGAGACGACTGCTAGAGACCTGCTAGTGGAGAGACAAGTGTAATAGGACGTGGCTACAAGTTTCTACCCGGACGGACCCTATCACTTCAACTTCTCCTTAGCCTTTGAGTTTAGTTAGGCTCTAAGTTACAAGTTCAGGTGTGGCCTAAAGTTTACGGGGTGTCGTCATGAGATTAAAGGTAAGGCAAGCATAGTTACACTGAACATTCACTTCGGTTGCTAGAATGGAAGAAACCTTTTTCATAGCTGTTTCCGAGCCACAAACAGTATCTTTTAATGTAAGATGAGAGTACTTTATGCTACTAATACTGTTCATACTGTTTTTATATCTTAAACATCTTAAAAACTGGTGTCTAGGGATAAATCCAATGGGTAATTTAAATATTTTACTTAAAATGTTTAAATTTTTTCTTCTAAATTTAGGCTGTGTAAACTATTCCTGTGAGCTATTTTACGTGTCCTTGAGCAGTTAGGGTGTTGGTGCTCTTCCAGGAGGCGCTGGCAAAGATGACACTGCGCAGGGCATGGGACGTGGGATTTTGCTTGGAAGAATTGACAGGCTTGACCTTTTACTGTTGAAGGTGGACAAGATCAGCGTTTCTACCTGAAGTAGCAGCAACACTTGACATCAGTTTCACGAAACATTCTTGTCTTTAACATTATGTAAATGTTTATTTTCCAGAGCCATAAGTGTGATCCTCGGTGACAGGTGGAAGAAAATGAAGAACGAAGAGAGGAGGATGTACACATTAGAAGCAAAGGCTTTGGCTGAAGAACAAAAACGCCTAAATCCCGACTGTTGGAAAAGGAAAAGAACCAATTCAGTACGTTTTACCAAGTAGTTGTTCTGGATGATCTTGCCTTCTCCCCTGGGAGCAGGGCTTGGGGCAGCAGTTCTTAGGGCCTCAGGCGGGTGGTGCACACGCTAGCTTCAGCATTCGTATACTTCAAAGCCTGATATTTTCACGCATGCTGAGGGAAAGCTGCCTTGGTTTTCGTTGCTCAGTGCCATTTACTAACTTGGTATGGCTAGCATTTCAGGCCAACTAGAAAAAAACATTCTAAATGTGCAGGTTGAAAGATATTTGCAGTGTAGTCTTTCTAGTTGGACTGAAGGCTGCACGTGACCTAATAATGCATTATTGCTATGGTAGACGTCCTCTCACTTGGTGGCACGTCTCAGCAGCCTGCCTGCTTTTGTGAGGGGCGAGTGAGGACAGTAGTGTGGGGGCTGCTAACATTTGGGGGGACTCCCGTCTCCACATCAAAAACCACATCAAGAATATAGGCCCAGGAGGAATATGGTAAATAATTTTTCTATTATTAGTCAAACATACTTTATGTTCATTATTTTTACTTTAGTGAAAAAATTCTACATTATAAAGCAGAATGGGTTCAATTTGAAATATTGTAAAACAAGATGTCAGAAGTTAACATAGGGCTGCTTAAGGATGTTTTACATTCATTCTCTATATTTATGCTTGTTTTTATAGGAACATGCAAGTCATATTAAATTTTTCAGCAGTATTTATAAGTAGCAAGCTGTCAGATTAATGAGAAAGTATTCTAACTAGATTCTGGAAGTTATTTTTTAGTTTAGCATTTCTAAACTAGGTGGGAAGACTTTACCTAAATCCCTTTTCTGTTCCTCCTAGTCTGTTTCTTAGTAGTTTTATAAATCTTTTGGATGCTTAAGCCATGCAGTATTAGAAACTTTACAATCATTTTTGAGGAAGCAGTCTTTTTAAAATAGTGAACTTACTAATATTAGGAGTCTGACCTTTCATATGTAGAAGTTGTATTTACTGATTTGTAAATACTCACTGAGTTTAATTTTATTTCCACAGGGCTCACAACAACATTAAACCAGGATGCTTTGTTCTTAAGTCTGTAGTTGCATAACGTTGACTCTTGATGGAAAGGCTTAAGAAGATCAGAGTCTCACTGTTGGTCCTGAATTCGTATGACCATAAGATACTGAAGCATTGAGTCTTGAAATGATTTAATAATATGAGTGAGGATTTGCTTTCTCCATTAGAGCATTAAGTATGCTAAAACTATCAACATTGTAAACCAAATTGCCTTATTTCCTTCCAACCTTCATATATGTCTATCAGGTAATATAGGCTTGAAAATTGATATCCTGTGGTGCTAAAGTTCAGTAGAAAGAGACGAAGTGTATACATGTTTATTTTAAATTGTACGAAGGGGAATTTAAAAACATGTAACTGCTGTTTATACATTGGCTCCTTACTGCTTATTAATCTGTACGTATACATGATGGAGAGAAGCAGAAGCTGGGAGTTGGGCTCTCATGAACATCCGCCACATGGCCCAGCATCTGTGCCAAACACAGGCCCCATCAGGCTGGCCAGTGCCAAGAGACTATGGAAGAGGCGGCAGGTGGAACGTGTTCCAGTGAGAAGAGCCACCTGCCGCACTCGGCGGCGGCATGCTGAGATTTTGCACCAGGTGGCAGCACTAGTCCATCATTTCCAATGGAGACCAGCCCGGGCCGAGGTAAAGTAGTTAATAGCATTGGGATATAGTCACTGCAATGGTGCTATTAACAGTTGACACCCTTCTATTTTTTAACTTTGTGTCCTGTATCTCCTCAGCCACATATCTTAATTATATTTTGTCATCATATCCTTATGGTGGGGGCAGTCTTTGCACTTATTGCAGTGCAACACTTGCACTTTACTTTTCCTCCAACTGTCTAAAATTAGAGCAGAGACATTGGCAATACAACTGCTTTGGCTCTGAGCTACAATCATGGCTTTCATGTTACTTACCAAGTCGTGTTCTGGTTAGGAATCACAGCTGTAAAATTGATTTCAGTTCCTTACACATCATGATGTTGCCCCTCAATTTTGCACACTATATTCTTGTATATTATTTCAAATAAAATGAAAAAAAAAGTTTATCTCTTACTTCTGGTTGATCTCGACTGAATTTTATGTATGAATTAGCAGAACAGTGGGATCAAGAGATGAAAACAAAGTAAAGTCCTAACTCAGAAAATGTTATTTTAAAATTAACAACAACAATGGGACATGAGCATTAGCAAAATAAGGCTGCGTTACTGTTAATCATCTTTGTTACGAAGCTACTGAATAGCCCCCCCATACCTGTCAATGAAGTGCCAGTGTATAAAGCTTTATTTAAATCGTCACTAAGATACTGTGTCCCACTTGAGCGCTCAGCCTTGCCTTAGCTTTAGACTGCACCAGTGCTAGCACCAGTGCACACTGGAATTTCTACTTGGCAGAGATACTTATTTTTAAAACATCCATTCCTGACTGCTGCCCTAAGATGTGTTAAGCATACAACATGCACATCTGGATTTTTTGGAAGCTTTCCTGGTGACTTAAGTGTGTAAGCCAATCTGAAAAGAACGGGGCCACATGCCTGAGGGAGGTGCGGGTGGGGGCCTCACTGCTCCATCACTTAGCCATGGGGGCTCAGCGCGCTGTGCCTGCCTGGCAAGCACAAGGTCATGACTTTGATTCCCAGCACCAAAAAAACCCAACCGACTGTTAAGAGGAAAAACGTTGGATGTCTTGGGTGAATCAGGCCTGTGGAGTTTAAAGGTGGTGATGAATCTTGCCATTTTGTGCTACTGAAAGTAGAAGTGCTACAGAGGTGAAGATGAATGTAAATACAGGCAAGGTCCATGATGGTTTCAAGTCTTGGGGCACAGCCAGCACCACTTGGAGATGAACAGACTGCTTATTGCAACTGAAGAGCACACATTGCCTTCTGGAGCAGCTGGAGCATGATGGGGTACACTGGGGCGAATTCTTTGCCTTCTCTGCTTTTCACGGATTGAACATAAGCTTCCAGCGCCCCCCTGAAAACCAAAATGAAAAAACCTGAGAATGTATGAATTAAAAACTTTTTGGAGGTAGCAATATGAGAAAATTAAAAAGTGCATTTCTACAATTGCCATGTCCGGTTCTAAAATCCAAGTGAGCAGCCTTCACGTTACGACTTGGCCACGTCAGGACTTGGCGATGCGTCCCTCCGGCTGTGCAGCCAAGCTCTCCTCCACGTGGGTGGGCTTTGGCGGTTGGCTCCGCCCCCTACCTATGCCAAGCGGGACAAGCTGCATGTAACTTCACAAGGTGCACTGGGCAGTGCCCCTAGGAGGTGTGTGACAGCAGGATGGAAAGGGGTCTGAATAGTTCCTCATCTCACAGCTGGCCAGTGTGCCCTGGGCTGCTGCTGCCACCAGAGCCGGGAGAAAGGCAGAGGTAGACATCACATAGCTACTGAGTCTATGTGGCCTTTTACAGAAAAAGCTTGCCGGTCCCCAAACTGGGATACTTGTTTAAGTGAACTTGAAATGATCCTGAGATCATTAATTTTTCATTATTGGCCTATTCAAACAACAGGTATGCAAACTCATTTTTCTTACCGTTTTCTTCAAAATTTCAGTCTATGAAGATACAGGTTAATACCATTACTAAGCTCACAGTCTCTGGCTCTTCTGCTACAGAACTCCCAATTGGGCTGGGCTGGGTTTGGTTTCATTTCTCCCAAACACACACAGCCAGGTCCAGGCTCCAGGAGTGAGACGGGGCCTGGGGAATGAGCTTTTCCCTTGCCCCTTGGGCACATCTCCCCGCAACCACCTGAGAATGGAAGTCCTTTCCATACCCGTTCCCAGCCCTGCCCCCCATTTGTTTACACACTGGCTATCTCTATTGTAACTGCTTCCAAATGGCCCCCCAAGCTACCCTGCCAGAGGCCTAGGGCAGTGTTCTCCGGTCTCCCCTTTCAGTGTAAGGTACCAGCTGAAGGCCTCTCTAACCTCTCCTACTACCCTGCCCCTTCAGACTCCACACATGCCATGGATACTCACTGCTATGTTGTTGTCTCCTGGGTGCTGACTATCCTATATCCCCAGAGTCTCCCACATGCTAAAGCCAGAGCTCTTCTTGGAGTGTAAGGTCACTTGTCATGCCACCTGTCCCTTTCTAGGCCACTGCTGGCTATGTTTTAGATGGTTTTATGTGGCTCGAAACAAGGGCATCACCAGTTTCCTTATGAATCTTCCATGGGTGACTATTAGCCCAGCCTCATTGCCCATGCAAGAAGAAACCAAGGGTGTTCCAATGCAGGACTCACACACACACCACATTCCCTAGGGAGGGGCAGCTCCGCTATGCTGAACCTCACTTCCCTATCTTCAAGGCCAGCATTCTTAGGACTCTGCTTCCAGTAAAGCCTTTCCTAACTCCAGGCAGCACGAACAATGGAAAGCACCTTGGGCATGCACACATTTGTGGAAAGGCCTGACTTCTGCATTAGCAGCTTGGCCCCATGCTCTGTGCAGGGCACGAGTCCTTTCATTCACTCTGGAAGGATGGGCACTTCCTAGTAAGTAGATCTATAGCCCTCCTCAGCTCATGCACTCTCCGATGCTCCAGTGATACATAGTTCCTCACCTGGCTGCAAAGTGGACTCACTCAAAACAGCATTTTGTAGGGTGCAGAGCTTTTATGGTGCCATTGCTCTAGGAGAAACCCTGCTGCTTTTAATACTTTTCTAGTTGCTATGCCATTCTAGGTGGTCATCTCCACTACACAAATGTTGCCCTTAAGATGCACACACAGTAGAGAAATCTCAAGGGCGCAGACTTCTTTAATGATGGAATGTGTGAGTTTGTGTATGTAAGAAATACATGCACTGAAATTCATAGAAAATTATTCTGTAATGGAATGGATTGTGTCCATTCTTGTTTAATAAATGGCCAAATATCAACTTAGTTTCTTTGCATTCAAGGGCTAAGACATTACATAAATTATACGTTAAAAAGCAGTTCAGAAAGGAGGTTTTTTTGATTCATCAAAAACACCATCAGAGTTATGGAGAGAACAACAGATTAAGCTGCCCTCCCACACAAAATCAGGGCAAGATTTTCAAGCATTTATTAAATTACTTCATATGCTTCAGCAAAACACTGGCTTTCTTGGAAGGCAGGCCAAGCATTATGTAAGAGTTGGTTGCAGCTCTGGTTTGTAACTATAGTTATCCCTACCAGGACCAGACCCCACAGATTACTACAGAAACGGCGTGGTAACGTGGCAACACTGCTCAAGGTGACATCCACCAGCCAAACAGGATTTTATGAAAAACAAAGTTGGTTTGTGTCAGGCATTACACATCCCATGGGACTGGCTTCTCGGTGAAGTGCATGGCAACAGACAGGCCACAGCCTCAAAGAGCAGTGAAAGCCCAAGCTTCTCTAGGGCTCCCATTTCAGGGCCTTAGCTCTCAAACCCATAAGCACCCAGTGTCGTCTCAGTGACCCCAACAGCGGAGACTGAGCACCCTCTCTACCACAGGGGCCTGGGGTTTTTGCATAATCACTCATGAGTGGAGCAAAGGGTGTACAGCCTGCATCCTGGACAACAGAACAGTGGCCCCAGGAGGAGAGATGCGCCTGCAGTCCATAGGCAGGTTTGATCTAAATGCATTCCTTTTCAGAGGGCCCACAAGAGTCACTGATCCACCTCAACTATGGCAAGTGAAGGTTTTGAGGCCCACCCTTCATTCTGCAGCATGTGAGGTGTCCACACGCGTGCCTCACCCTTCCTTGATACACAATGGCACCAGAGGACACAGGTACCCAGGGTGCCCAGGGTAGATGCTGTCAGCTCCCAGGTCTGCCATCACTCTTACTGGACCATTATTTATTCAGGCTCCAGAGAAACAGCTCGCATTCAAACCACAGGGAGAAAAGCAGGAGGGTCCACCTTGTGCCACTGATACAGCAGCAGCCTTGCTGTCATCTCTGCCCTACTTTATGCTGGCCTAGAGACTGTGCTGGACGAACAGCAGGGTTTGCCCCAGAGGCTGAAACAAGCATCCTGATGTTTAAAAGGGCAGTGCTCACCCTGGTCATCTATGGGGGAAGGACACACATCCTTGGTGCTTGGTTTGCAGGGACACAAGCTGAGCCACACACCATAAGACACATTTCCCAGCCTAGAGGTCCCCCAGGAGCCAGGCCGCAGCAGGATGCATTGGTAGCTCAGGGCACAAAGGTTCTGGCATGAGCCATGTGTAGAGGGAGGGGTAGGCCTTGTTTAAAATGCACGACAGGATTTCTGAGCATGATTTTCAGTGCTAAATATAGGCCTAGCAACAGCACTGCTGATGAAATCACTCCAGAGACATTTTTAAAGAGAAGCAAAAGAAACCAGATTTGTGATTTACCCACAGCAGGACAACTGCTGTGGATGAACTCATTCCAACTTGGGAGGAAGGAGATGAGCCTGCTCAATTAACTGAGTCCTTGTCAATTCCTGAGGAGGTTCCAACAGAGTGAGACTAAAAATCCCCAGGTTACCCAGGCCCTCTGGGCTTGGCCAGTCACAGGACTGCTGAGGGGCACTGGGCAACACTGCCTTTCTCAGGGGACTGGGGCCTAGGCTAACCTAGTCTTCACCCACACAGGTACCAGGAGGCTCTGGACACCAAGCCTTAGGGTATGGCTGCTCTCAGAAGCTGCCCCTGCTTCTCAGTGGCCTCTTGGAGCCTCCTCAGCCAGCTGCTCACCTGGAACAATGTCCCACTGCAGCCCTTGTGCAGCCCCCTGGGCTCTCAGTGGCCTGGATGTGGCTCACATCCCAGAATGTGAGGCAGTACGACTAGGGCTGGCTGAGCTGGGCCAGCACCTCTGCGTGCCCACATGGCTGGGCCCCACACGCAGCCAGCTCACACTGCCTAGGACCAGGGGAGCTGGCTGGGTGCTGGCCCTAGGCTGGGAAGGTGGAGAATGGCTCCAAGAGCTGGTTCTGAGAGGAGTGCTGGTGAAACTTCTAGAGCTTTCAATGATAACAAACAGCTGCATGCACGGGTTTGCATCAGAAGATAAGGATGGCAGGAGTCCCCTGAGGCCTGACAGGCTTCAACTTGCTACTTAGGGGAAGGTGGCCTCCCTACATGACAGGGAGTGCAGGGAGTGAGAAGGCCCTCTCAGAGGTGATTCACTGTCAGTATTCGGGGGATGGAGAAGCTCCCATGGTGACATGCCACAGCAAGTTTCCTGGCCTGGGGCCCTGTGATCTCTACAAGGCACAGATTCAGGGCCTGGAAGTACAAAGGAGCTAAGTACTCACCCGGGACCAAAGGCAGACGGGATGCAGGAAAAAGCCAATGGGAGGAACAATTCTGCAAACAGGATGTGGAAATGGCCAGCGAGGTCAGGGCAGAAAGGTGCTGGGAGGGCAGTGGCAGTTGGTGCTGGGAGGGCAGGCCACTTGGTCCTGGGAGAGCAGTGGCACTCCGTGCTGGAAGGGCAGGCTACTCAGTAGGCTTGCACAGCATTGTGCTGAAGGCCCCGCCCCAGCCCAGGTTGTGCAGGAGATGGCCAGCATCTGCAAGAACTGGAAGCCTGAGGAGGAAGGAGCCTCAGGGGCTGGGGAGGGAAGGGCTGAAGGAAGCTCTGTGCGCCCAGTGATAGGCATGGCGTCCTGGGCATGCATCAGGGTATGTGCACATGTGTATCTACACAGGTTCATGCGCTGCCACCACCAGAGGACACTGGGACCAGAAGGGCTGCTCAGCGATTCTTGCTTCCTACTAATGCCTGTGTCCCACTTAGCACTTTTGGAGATCAAGTGTTCCTGTGCTCACCAACTCAGTATCACAGTGTGTGCAATGATGCAGAAAGCATGGCAATCTGGTGACTCTGACACAGGCTGGTGGCCCCAGAGTGGATACAACAGGCCCTGCACAGCGCAGTGTGGTGGGCACGTGGATGAGCAGGGGGAGACCTGTGTCGGAGCACGGGGGTCGGCCCCAGCCCCAGCCCAGCCCAGCCCAGCCCAGTGCCCCAGGTTACTTTACCTGATCAGAAGGAGCCGGTCCTTTTCAGATGGGTGGTCGTCCAGCCACTGGGAGAAACGTGCATGCGACCACTCAGCCCTCTGCAGGTGTGGCCCATGAGAGGAGGAAGAACACATCCTTCAGTTAGTGGTAAGAGCTGGCTGGGAACCCCCTCAGCTGGAAAGGGACCACGGACCCCTGCTGACAGCACTGAGGAGGCAGCACACACTGGGCATCTTTCTGCCAAGAAGCCTCCATTATTTGCTAATGTACGGGAGCTCACAGGACATTAAAAAGCTTAGAGGACATAAGTGACTTGCAACATTATTATATTTTTATTACTATTTTTTGGTACTGGGGATTGAACTTAGGACCTTGCATTCACCAGGCAGGTGCTTAATGCAGCTGAGCTATCT